GGAACATAAGAGGTAATTTGAGCAAAGGAATTGTTAAAGGTGTGCTATAGTTGGCCTTATTGACTCATGTTCAGACTTGGGGAAGGGTACAGGATTTATGCCTCGCGTAGATGCGGGTTTCAAGGAAAGTGATTCGGCCGGGTGCTTCGTCGAGAGGGTGTTCATGTGCTAGAAGATTCATGGAGTTGATTATATTCGGGACCAAGTCAGAGTGGGTGGCTCTCAACAACGGTCCTAGTGGATTTAAAAGTTATAGTGTGGTGCCTAATGATTTCGAGCCCATAAGTATGGTTAAGAATCGAGCTTTTGCAGCAGAGTATGAAAAGAGGCTTAGAATGTTCTATGATATCTTCGGCTTATAGTGTAACATTTGGAGGAAAGAGAGAATATGACTTCGGATTCGTAGAGGAATTATCAGAATGGGTGTATTAGTTAAGTTGCGAATTTACGTGCAGGGAGGGTATGAAACGGTTCATGGGTTTGGAGACAATGGGGTCTCATGGAATGGGGTCACTCAAGATGAGTGCGGATTTAGGTTGGTGATGTAAGGAATGGAGCTAATAATAACTCTGAGACAAGATAAGGATTAATCAAAAGAAGTTAGATTGGTTAACCATGGTTGAATTGGTATAATGGTGGCGGTAATCAGTTCCTTCAGCATGATTAAGTTGTGCATGTGATTTATGGTGGTACGTGTGAGGCTCGACGGCCGCCGTAATTGATTTTAGTTGGAAGTATTCAAGTAGTATGGCCTGTATGTGTAGGTGGATCCCGGAAGAGTTATGGTGGTTCAGACCACTACTTGAGGATTTGAATGTTCCACGGTTATGAGAAGTTATTTGCGTGTTGCTATGGTTCTCTTGGAATGAGTTAACTAAAAGGTTCTGTATAATGAAATGTATACTGTCACACCTCCTTTTTTTACACATCTACCCCGAAGGATAATGTATAAGGGAATTTTTCCATTTAAAGTGACATTATTCGAAATGGGATTATTTATTTATTTAGAGTCGCCACTTGGGAAAGGATTGGCTTTTGGTGTCCCAAGTCACCGGTTTAATTTGAATCCCAAGTCGAGGAAAAATTTCGACTTCCCAATTGGAGTCTGCAAACCAGAAATTCTGAATAAGGAATTCTGTTGACCCGAGGGAAGGTGTTAGGCACCCCCGGATCCTGTGGTTCTAGCACGGTCGCTTAAATTATTATATATGGCTAAAAATCTAGTTTTTATACATATTCCAACCTATAATGCAATTTTTTAAGATTATTTACCGCTTTTAGTTATTTTTACGAAAGTGAACGCCGTTTAAGAGCGTGTTTTCGGATCACGTCACATGAAATGCACCCGGATCCGCAACACCTCTTATTCAACGTTTTGGGATTTGGATTTGGGTTGCATGAAATGCACACCCGAGTTTAGGAAAGTAATATTATTAAAATTCACGCCTAAAGTGACTAGCGTATTATTATCTTTGCGGGAAGCCATGAAAATTCGCTAAATGGCATGTCCCGATTTCTAAGGATTTTAAAATTAATTAAGTGAGGGCCATGGAATTTGCTAAATGGCACACCTCAAATTATTTCAAAGAATTGCACTCAACTAAAGCAAACTACAAGGTTTATGAATTATTTTACTAAACTACTTTGAGAATAGTGTGAAAGGCATGTGATTATGAAATTTATTTGTGGAAGAAGTATAGTAAATTATTCATGGAAATGTAAGCTAACCCAAGAATACTTAACGATTAGGCTAGTTAGAGTTATGCGCGTTAAAAGACTAGACTTAGGACACTTGTGCCCATTTACATGATCGGATTCAACAATAGAGCTTTTGACAAAGCATCTTTCCAAACATTCACTATACCAATTCAATAATGATAATACTAACTGAAGAAAATATACGCTCAAATAGCGATGCAGTAAATCCAAACCATAGAATATACTGATTATAGTGATGCCAAAATACAAAATAGGAAAATTGACTGAAATTAAACATCTACCTACTATTATTAGAGAAACAACCAATTCTGTTTATAACAAAGGACCAAAATCAAACTAATAGAGAGCTGAACTATCACAGGACTAATTGGAAAGAAATATGCTAGCACAAAACTATCAACAAAGGGCCAAGATGCTTCAAAATGACATATTCCTAACATGAAAATATATAGACATGAGTAGAAGAATGAATCTCATATAAGAGCTACCAGCAACAGTTACAAATTGTGAGATGGTATTGAATAGAACCTGATATGTCGAACAGAAACTCGACCACGAATAGGGAACGCCAACCAAATAGGAACCACGAACAGCGACTAACCAACGACGACAAACTCCAACGGCAACAGGGTTCAAATAACGTCGAGCAGTCTATAACGAGTAACGACTCGACGCGTAACCAACGGAAACAGTTGTGGAAACTCAGTTATTGAAGCTCGACCAGAGAACTCGAGAACGGACAGAACTTGACTGGGTGAAAAACAGGGCAAAAGCGAGCCGGAAGTTCAGGGGGATGGGTCGTTTGTGCTAGAGAAGATAAAATCGAGGGGGTGGGGTCTGTTTTTTTTGTGTTATGCGGTTGAAGCTCGTCAATCCGGCGAGCTGCCGGAGCTCGTTTCTCCCGGCGAGTTACTGAAGGAGGGAGACGAAAAGAGCAGCAACAGCTCCTCTCTAATGGAGAAACGGTTGCCCTCTTGTGTATTTCAGTTGGGTCTCATCTTGTTGCTCAAGAAAATTAAAAACGAGGGGGGTGCTTGGGAAGATGAAATTCGGCGCTCTCTGTATCCTTTTTCCAGGAGTATTTTGTATGTGTATATGCGCTGTTTGTGGTGTAGGTAGTATTATATAGAGTAGGGATTAGGTTAGGGTATGGGCCTAGGAACTATGGGCTAGGGATTTTGGGCCAAAGACTGAAAATGGACTATAAGATTTGTAAAAACGGGATAAACCAACCTAA